ATATACAGATAGATAGATAGATAGATAGATAGATAGATAGATAGATAGACAGACAGACAGACAGACAGACAGACAGACAAGGAGGGAGGGAGGGAGGGAGGTAGTAAGATACATGCACCGTTTCTGTCCAACCAGTTTTATTAAAAAGTTGCAGCTTCCTCAGAGGCAATGGCATGGCTAAACTGATGGAGAATGTAAACTGGGATCCAACATGAGAAGACAGGCTGATTAGCAAGATGCATGAAAGCTTTGCCTTTTAATCAAAATTTATTAGCGGGAAGGGGAGGGAAGACACCTCTTGTTTGATGGTCAAATGGATGTTGCTTTTCTTTTGGTTTTAGGGCCAGAAGGAGAGGAGAGCAGGGCTGTTTTCCAGCATTCTCTGTGGGAAGCAGCTTGGAAATAATAGTTGTGTCAGCTGAGGCTGTTATTTTCCCAGTGAGTGTTTTGCATCAGAGCCATTCAAAATTAAAGTTATCAAAGGGGGGGGGGGGAGGTTTCCTTTAGACAGGTTTCATAAGAGGCCCCATCCATTCCAGCAGGTGGGCGAGTCTTTAAACTTCTCTGAGCAGACCAGTACTAAAAGATGTGGCTTTTTAAAAAAAATTCCTATAGGGCCTTTAAGGACCAGTCTTCAGAAGTTGTGGGGTGCTTCGTCACTGAAGGTTTTTAAGAAGAGAGTGGACAGCCACTTGTCTGAAATGACACAGGATCTGCTACTTGAGCAGGAAGCTGGACTAGAACAGGGGTTGCCAATCTTTTGGACCCCAGGGACTACCAAACTCATAATTTTAAATTCCGCAGACCAGAGACCCCGAGAAAATCCCCCCAAAAGTCTGCAGGAAAATTCCCCACCCTGTTTTCCTATCGATCGATCATTCTTTATTTGGGATCAATCATTCTTTATTTGGGATCGTAGGATACCAGCTCCAGCTCCATTCTCGGGGAAGTGGGGAGAGAGAGACTTTTGGCTTCATGCAAGGAAAGCAGCAGAAGTCTTTCTTTCTCTCCCCCAAACTCCACCAGAATGGCGCAGCCTCTTGGAGCAGGATGCCTTGCAGGGTCCCAAAGACTCATTTCTGATGGAGTTGTTAAGTGATTCACTTAACAACTATGGCAAGAAAGGTTGTAAATGGGGCTAAACCCACTTAACCACTCAGCAACAGACATTTTGGATTCACTTGTGGTTTGTAAGCCAAGGACTATCTGTATAGATCAGTGATGGTGAACCTTTTTGTTGTGGTATGCTGAAAGCGCGCGTGTGCTGGCACCCACAATGCAATGTGCCCCCCCCCGCACACGCAACACTCCCGCCCTACCGTCTTATCTGCACTGCGTGTGCCTCCCAGCTGAGATTCGCCCCGTTTGAGGCCGTTTTTGCCCGCCCCCGGAGGCTCGAGGGAAGCCTCTGCAGCCTTGGGACGCAGAAAAACAGGCCTTCTGGAAATACCAGAAGTGCCGAAACGGGCCCGTTTTTAGCCTCCCAAGGCTGCACAGGCTTCCCTCGAGCCTCTGGGAGGGAGAAAACAGCCTCAAACGAGCCGAAAATCAGCTGGGAGGTGTGCGCATGCACAGTGCAGGTAAGTTTGGCTGGGGCTCGCATGCCCGCACAATTGGCTCTGCATGCCACCCGTGGCACTTGTGCCATAGGTTCGCCATCACGGGTATAGATCCAGAACATTCTTAGCAGAACATTTCATGCATTTGAAAAGCTTTTCCTCTTTTAGCGGGTGCACAACTTAGGAACTGCACTTGTCAAGAAGGTTTTTTAATGACCAAAAAAAAGGCTTGATGGTTTGTTTTGTGAATCGCAACCTCTCCCTGCAGATCCATAAAGGGACAATTTTCTCTCAAAATGTACTTGACTCCTACTGAGACTGCAGACCAATAAAAATGGTGTACTTATGAGTCATCACAGTTTTCTGTTCTATTTTATTTCTTAAGGGAAGGTTTTTGAAGAAATAAATCTTTCTGTTTGATAGAATAATGCAGTCTTGTTTCTGAAATTATACAGACAGACAGACAATAAACATATGAGATGCCAGTGAGATGATAGAGAGATGGTAGAGAAGATAGAATAGAGAACGAAAGGAAGAGAAAGAAAGAGGGAGGGAAGGAAGGAAGATGTATCTTTCATTCCTAGTGTTTTTCGAAATATGTATACTGTTTATATCCGTGATGGCGAACCTACGGCATGTGTGCCGGAAGTGACATGCAGAGCCATCTCTCCAGGCATGACAGCCATTGCCCATTGCTCTTCTGGGTTCCGGTGCATGCTGGCCACCTGGTCTTCCGGTTTCTAAAGTGCATGTGTGCACAAAGATCAGCTGGCCGGCACACATGCACACAGGAAGACCAGCTGGCCAGCATGCATGCGCGTTAGAAAACGGCCGGCCATCTGGTCTTTCGGTTTCTGATGTGCATGCATGCAAAGACCAGCTGGCTGGCTGGTTTCTAACACTCATGCGTGTGGCAGTCAGCTGGTCTTTGTGGAAGCATGCACATTAGAAGCCAAAAGACCAAGTGACATGCATGCGCACGCCGGGAGTTGCTCTTTCATTTTTCAGTGCGCACACAGGCATGTGTGTTTCGGCACTAGGTTTCTTTGGGGGTGGGTGCTCCTGTTGGTTAACCACCACTGGTACATAGGCTGATGAGAGCAGTGCAGTGATGCTCTCACCTCACAATCAGGAGGCTGTGAATTCGTTCGTAGGTAGCATCAGATATTTCTGGGTGCAATGAGTTATTGTGTGCTGCAAGCTCCACCTAGGCATCAGGGAAGGCATCCAGCCAGTAAATGCTCAAATTCCAATCAGTCACCTGAATGGTTTTTCCTTAACCCATTTACTCTTTTATGGAAAAAAGTATATAATAATTCCAAGATTGTTGTGTTACTTATTGAGTACACTGTCCAGTAGATTCCTACCAAAATGCAAATTTTTCTCATGGTCTTTCTACCTCTGTCCCTCTATGTGTACCTCTGTGTCTGCATGTGAGAGAAAAAGAGTTGTGGTGTCATCTATGAAACAACACCAAGGTTTTTAAAACTAGTCTGTCAAAGAAGCCATTGTAGCATAGTTCAGGCAGGCAATTAAGTCACAATTACATTTTGCAGCAAGTTTACATAAAATAACAATAACATGCATCCAGCTTCTGGATGTACGTCAAGCCTGGACAGTGGTCACTTATTCAGTAAACCACAACAAAACACACACATGCTTAGTAAGATATATGGACCTGGGCATTATACAGAGAACCATCTTTGCTTTCTCCAGGAAATAAATTTGAGAATTAGGTAAGACATGCAAAATAAGTAAAAAATGGACATTGTGGCACCCAAAATAGCCCTGAAATGTCTGAATATGCATCCTTCTGCCACAACTTAAGATAACCTAAGCCAGAGGTCCACAAACTTGGCAACTTTAAGACTTGTGGACTTCAACTCCCAGAATTCCTCAGCCACAGGAATTCTGGGAGTTGAAGTCCACAAGTCTTAAAGTTGCCAAGTTTGGAGACCTCTGACCTAAGCAGCACCACACCCTTGAGGCCTTCTGGCCTCCATGGGGTTAAGCAGACATTTAAGATGTTAACACATACATGTGGCTGCTTAAGAGTCTGAATTTGTTCTGTACTATTCTCCCATCTTTCCCCCATGTTGGTGTCACATTGAGCTACTCATGGAATTCTGGGAGTTGTAGTCCCAACACAACCAAGAGACAAGCACCTTGGGGAAAAAAACTCCTAGTAGTCGGAACTCAGTGGTTGCTTAGCAAGCCAGCAGTGCCCTCTGCTGGTGGGGTCCAGAACCCACTCTTTTTTCTAGCAGTTGATTTCCTGGCTATTGCAAGTAGAATTTACTAACGACATTTAACTTCGTTGTACGAGGTGCAATGACAATAAAGTAATGAAAATCACAATGTCATGACATGCATGGTATCACTTCTCCTCCCTCATTTCAATTTGCAGATGTCAGGGACTGTGTTTGTCCCATACTCTGGATCTTTCCCCACTTCTATTTTTACCTTGATATACCAAGAAGATATTGAGACCCTAGAAAGAATGCAAAGTAGAACAAAGATGATTAGGGGACTGGAAGCTAAAGTGTATGATTAACGGTGATGGGAACTGGGGTATGTTTACTGTAATGAACATAAAGACTAGGGGTTGACATGACAGCAGTCTTCCAATATTTGAGGGGTACCCAAAGTGAGCAGAGGGTCAATCTATTCTTCAAAGCACCTGAAGGCAGAATATGAAGTAATGGGTGGAAGCTTAAGGAAAAGTTCCAACTAGAAATAAGGAGACATTTCCAGACAGTTTAACCAGTTGAACAGATTGTCTCCGGATGTTGTGGGTACCTCATCACTGGAGATTTTCAAGAAGAGAAGGGACAACCATTTGTCTGAAAATGGTATAGGTTCTCCTGCTTGAGCAGGGGGGGGGGGGGGGACTAGAAGACCTCCAAGGTCCCTTCCAACCCCGGCTATTCTATTTATTTATAGTCCACCTTTATTTTTTACAAACAATTCAAGGAGGCGAACATATCCAACACAGCTTTCTCTTCCTAGTGTTGCGTGGATAGAAATATTTATATTAGATTTACATTTATATTTTGTGTATTTTTGTAGTACTATTCTTTTTTTGCTGACTCCAAATTATGACTCATATTTACAAGGGTTGTTGTGTCCCTTGGTCACACAATAACCTTTTGCAACCTTCTGAAGAGCCAAGTCATGGCGAAGCCAGATTCATTCAACAACTGTTACTAACTTAACAACTGCTGTGATTCACAGCTGTGGCGAGAGGTCGTTTAAAAAAATGGGGAAAACTTACTTAACCGTTGTCTCACTTAGCAACAGAAACTGTGGTCGTAAATAGAGGACTACCTGTGTGGAGGCACCAAGATTGACTTTCAAACTTTCCAATAAACTCCAAGATCAAATACACCACCTCAGTCTTACCCACCACTTAAACTATTAAGCTACGACAAACACAGTTGGTAAAGTCAGCATTTTTTATTAACTTTCTGTTATCTTATCGGCTGCGAGGCAGGAAGACTTAGCTGGAGGTCTCCATGTCTCCAGCCCAACCCTTGTACTTTTGAACCATCTAATCTCTGAGGACTTTCACTAATATCAAAGGCAGCAGGACAGCTTCTGGGAGATGACCAACACCAGACGCCCAGGGAAAAAAATGGGTGGAAAAGAAAAGAAAAGAAAATCTGTACAAATAAAACATAGACGTTGGAATTAAGGCTGTTGCAACCAGCTTCCAGATCTATCTTATTAACCCTCTGGGTTTATTTCAGGAACAAAGCTCATTCTAGCCCAGAGAATTATGGACTTCAAACTTTGGAATTATATTCATCAGGATGGAGGGGGGGGAAGTCGAAACGATTCCTGATGTCCTAAGAGAAGCCACAAACATTTTAATTTACATTTGTGGGCTGCCTTTAACTCAATTGGAAGAAAGGCAGTATTTTTGCCCCCCGTTGAAAATTTCCTCCACCAGCTGCTGTGCCAACTTCTCTTTGTGCCAGTAATTTGGGGCCATCTATGTCAAAGAAAGTAGCTGGGTACTGGCTCAGCTTGCCACCTTCTAGCTATTCTTCCATGGATTTGATGTATTTTTCATACGCATCTTCAGTCAAGAGTTCGTCCAGTTCAGAAGGATTATCCACAGTCATTTTGATAAGCCAACCTGTGAGCCAAAAAAAGACAAATTAGGGCGTGTGTGTTTTTAAAAAGCATCACGATATCCAGGGCTCTTGTAGTTCTAGTAAATGCTACTCTTAGGTCCAATGGTTTCTAGTCTTAACTCTACAGATTTTTGTTCAGTCATTAAATCAGGTCCAACTCTTCACCATCCCATGGACCATAGCATGCCAGATCTTCCTGTCCTCCATTGTCTCCCAGTTTGCCCAAGTTCACGTTCATTGCATCAATGACACCATCTGTGATGATGTGAGGCATAACACAAAAATAACCAAGTCACAAAAATCCAATAAAATTCCTTTAATGCCTCCAACTTGGCCTCAATGTCCAATTATCCTCGGCTGGAAATCAAACTCTTAAAGAAAACAGTTTATGGAGAAGTAAAAGTAGTCCACACCCAAAGTAAAGTTAATTCGAACCCAACACAAACCACACTGAAAGAATTACTACGGCAGGCAAGGATGATTAATTGGAGACTTCTACCAGATAATGCAGCAACCACAATTGGGAGGAAGCCAAAACACAGATAAGTTCCAACAAGAATAATGCATGCTTTGCTTCCAGCAGCCTTGCCATGCGCAGTTTGTCCTTTTAACCAGTCCTCCCAGCTGCAGTCCATGAAGGGGATCAGGGCCCCTTCCTCCCCCGTAGACCATGCCACTCACGTTTCTCCCTTATCCGTTCCTCCCTGCGTGCCCTAGGATGAAGAGGGGATGGGCCTGGATCTTCCTCTGAATGCCCAGCTGGCCTGTGCCCTTCCCCAGTTTCTTCCACAGCCACCAGAGCCACACTCCTACTCCCTGTCAGCTGTTCCATCTCTCCCTTGGAGTCAGACTCCAACAGGGCATGACACCATCTAACCATCTCCTCTGCCATCCCCTTCTCCTTTTGCCCTCCATCTTTCCCAACATCTGTGTCTTGTCCAAGGAGTCCTCTCTTCTCTTCTCATTAGGTGGCCAAAGTATTTGAGCTTCAGCTTCAGGATCCGTCCTTCCAAAGATCTTGACAGGTAATCCTTGCTTAACTTTGCAACCAAACTGACTTTCCCAGAGCTACTTGCAACCCAATTTCAAAGTTCTGGCAGCCTTATACACCCTGTGGTCACATGGTTATATTTTGGGGTTCTTAGCAAATCGGCTGTCAACTCATAAAACATTTCTATGCCCGTTTTATAGTTTCCAACAGAAAGGGGAGGGAGGAAGGAGTTTGAAAGAGCAATTTGGAATCAAAAGTGCATTCCATTCATATTTTTTCAGAGATTGTAACTAGGTGACTGAAGTTTCTGCCATGCAAAGATCTAATTGGAGAACATGATTGATGACTCTTGGCTATGGACATGTTTCATTGGAGAATATGAATTATGATACACCCAGAGGGGTGGGGAAAAACCAGGCTCAAGGGTGACAGCGAATTACATGTCTCAGAGTTGGCCATATCCAGGTCATGCCAACATGTTAACTCCCAATAAATCCTTTGTAGTTTTGGAGATTTGGCTCAAGACTCATGATTTAATTGGGGTAACTGCCGGAATCCTGACATCGGCTTGCATTTAAGGCTCTTTGTAGCACCCCAGACACGTGACTACAAATTTTGCCATTTTTATTTTTTTTTGCCAGTTTCCATTATTTACTTCCAATTCTGGGCCAAAAAACCCCCAAAACCACCCATTGGGGGACAACAGGCTTGCTTAACAACCATCACAAAAAGGTTGCCAAATCAGTCATGTGGTCCCATGGTGATCTGCTTAAAGACCATGAGTTACAATTGTAATTCCGGGTTCAATTACAATTGTTAAGTTGAGGACTGACTACCTGTCGTGTTGATCCCACAACACTCTGTTGGGTAAGTTCCAATATTATCATTGCGATATTCTGCAAGCTACTGTTCAGAATCCTTGGGATCCTTCCTCTTACCATCTTGGTAACAAGATTTGTTGACAAGTCCAGGATTATCAGCAAGGGCGGTGTTAATTTCTGTGACTTCTCCTGTGACGGGAGAGTAGATTTCACTAGCAGCCTTCACACTTTCCAAGGCTCCAAACTCATCTGGAACATTAAATGGGAAAAGGCCTTGGTACAGAAATCCCAGAACGAGAATTTGCATTTGTATGATGTGTCATGCTACAAGTGGCTGCTGGATTGATGGCGTGCGCACACACACACACACACACACACGTTCTCTGCTCTCCACCTGTCCATCTTTCTTTTTTGGTAATCATACAGTTGCATTTCTTTTTCATTGTTTTTTTCTGGATCTATTATCTTCTGTTCACGCTCTTTTCATTTCTTCCTTTTTATTGTTGTAAGCCACCAAGAGTAGCCCCACAAAGCAAGATAGGCATCAAATAAATTTAACAAATTAATAATAGTAATAGTAATAGTAATAGTAATAATAATAATAATAATAATAATAATAATAATAATAATAATAAGAAGAAGAAGAAGAAGAAGAAGACAAAAATGCCAAATCCAGTCTGAACATCTAGCTGACTCTGTGACAAACAGGGGCCTCAGGTGCAGTTCCACTGGAGCATCACTTGAAAGCCACTGGCATTGACAAACTCACAATCTGTCAATTGCCAAAGGCAGTCGCTCAGAACAGCTAACATCCTGCAAGGATTCCTGTAACACTATCAAACGTCCACATCTGAGTATCCCACTCGTCCTTGGAAAGGACTCAACAGGCAGTCAAAAATGCCAAATCCAGTCTTGAACATCTGGCTGACTTTTGCAATGACGCATAATAATAATAATAATAACAACCGTTAATCTGCAGCTATGGAACCAATCTAGTCCTTGCCTACTCCTAGTGCTTTGTCCTATCAACAGAAGCTGGTAGAAGCTTAGCAGGCTGTTCACTCTTTCTCTCTGGAGAAGGTTTAAGAGCTGCATATATTTGGGGGATGGGAGGGTACTCACAGCCTTGCTAAATAAACATAGAGGTCCACCTTTAGTTCTTTCCTTCAAAGACCTTTTGATCTGCCTTCCTGAAGCAGTTATCATTTTGGAAACAGAAGTCTTTCATAACTTGTTTCTCCTCTTGACAGCTTGTAAGACAAGGAACTGGGGGCCAGTTTTTTTCTTAATGTAAAGAAAAAGAAATATTTGGGGCATACCCTTAAAAAAAGCCTAAAATAACTTTATTCCTCCAAAGTATAATGTTATTGCTGCCTAATCTAACATTTACTTTTGGGTGGGGGGGAGAGACAAGATTGTTTTAAAAATATGAATAATGCTCACCTTGTTTGTTCAGCTTTGTTCCAATTTCTGGAAGACTGCAATAAACAACATCCCCTAACGCTTCCTGAAATGAAAATTTCCTGCATCAGCAATCATCTAGAGAAGTGGAAACCACTATGGAAAGAAAGTTGAGCATCTCATGGTGGAATTTAAGCAGAAAACATATGGAGATTCTCAATCCTCCAGGTCATGGTTGTCCCAAGGTGCTTTTTTCAAGAGGCAACTGGACTTTCTGTTGTTGTTTTTTCTTTGAAGACGTTGAAGCTTCTTCAGCTCCGTTTCAACTTCTTGGATGAGAAGCAAAATGTCTTCAAAGATAAACCAAAAACTCCAGCTGCCTCTTGAAAAAAAACACCTTTGGGACCAGCAGAAAACAAGTTCATACCCCTCCCAGTCAGTTTGTGCCAACTGGCTGACCCTAAATATGAGAAGCTTTCTTACACTTCTCACGTTGTCCTTAAGAAAGAGAGCCAGTGGAGAGCCAGTTTGGTTTAATGGTTAAGGCTCCAGGCTCTAGAGAGCAGGAGGCGGTGAGTTCGAGTCCTGTCTTATCCATGAAAGCCAGCTGGGTGACTTTGGGCCAATCACCAGGAGACGGTGAGTTCAAGTTCTATTTTGGCCTTGAAAGCCAGCTGGTGGATGACTTTGGACTAGTCACTCTCTCTCTCTCTCAGGCCAACTCACCTCACAGGATTGTTGTTGTTGTGGAGAAAATAGGAGTAGCACAATTGTGTTGGATATTGTTGCCACCTTGAGTTATTTGCAAAACATAATAAAGGCGGGATACAGAATAGAAGAGAAGAGAAGAGAAGAGAAGAGAAGAGAAGAGAAGAGAGAATAGAATAGTTAGAATAGAATAGAATAGAATAGAATAGAATAGAATAGAATAGAATAGAATAGAATAGAACAGAACAGAATAGAATAGAATAGAATAGAATCCTTTATTGGCCAAGTGCGATTGGGCACACAAGGAATTTGTCTTTGGTGCATAAGCTCTCAGTGTACATAAAGAAATGATACATTCATTAAGAATCAAGAATCATAATGTACAACACTTAATGATAGTCATAGGGTACAATAAGCAATAAAATCATACTAGGAAACAGTCAATATAAATTGTAAGGATACAAGCAACAAAGTTACAGTCCTACAATCATAAATGGGAGGGGATGGGTAATAAGGAGTGATGAGAAGATTAACAGTAATAGTAGTGCAGACTTTATAATAGTTGAACAGTGTTGAGAGAATTATTTGTTTAGCAGAGTGATGGCTTTCGGGGGAAAACTCCCATCACTTGAGACTTTCAAGAAGAGATTGGATTCTCATCTGTCAGAAATGGTGTAGGGTCTCCTGCTTGGACAGGGGGTTGGACTAGATGACTTACAAGGTCCCTTCCAACTCTGATTATCTGTTTAATCTGTTTAAATAAAGTCTTAAAACACTTCAAGACATACAACTTGGAAAAAATTCCTCACCAATCCAGTGGTCCCCAGCTGAGAGTGTTCAGAGCAAGCACAGCCTGTTGTGTTGTGTTTCACAAAATAACAGCTTTTGACATTAAGAAAGTGCTGCTGACCACTTGGTCAATTTCAGGTTGACTTTGAAAATGCTGACATCATAAAACAGCCTTAGGTTCCTTCTTAGTGAATTCACACCACTTTATCAAATATCCAGAAGAAGAACCACAAGATTGCTAGAATTCCCATCACAAGATGTGCCTTGGCTGCATGGACCCCTCAAATATATCTCTCACACTTTCCAGATACTTGCTCCTTTGACCACAACTGTCAGAAACTATCAGCATCACTGTCACCAGTTTAAGATGAAAGCATGCCAAAAAAAAAAAATCTGCCCAGAAAACCCTAAAATGACATTTGGAGGAAATAATTAGGATATCTTGGCAATATCCATGGATCAGGGACAGCCTCACCTATTTTGGAGCACTGTTTAGCCATCCTCTCCACTAAAATGTTAAGTTACAGGTAGTCCTTGACTTAGAACCACAACTGAGCCCAAAATTTATGTTGCTAAGTGAGACATTTTGCCCCATTTTACGACCTTTCTTGCCACAGTTGTTAAGTGAATCCCTGCAGTTGTTAAGCTGGTGACACAACTGCTAAATGACCATGGCTTCTCCATGGACTTTGCTTGTGCTGTGGCCCGCCAGTGGCTAGCGGAGCTGGCAACAGAGTCAAACAATGAGAGGACATTGGGGAGGAACATGGGCCGGTCCTGGAGGTTGAGGAAGGCTCGGACGAGGGCTCTGCGTCAGAGGCAGAGATGGGGCCAAGGCAGACTGGCAGTTATCAGCTGCCTTCGGAGTTGGACAGCAGTGAGGCTGGGGGAGCAGCTGGAGCCGGTTCCCAGCCTGCCCATGCAAAAGAAAAGAACAATGACGAACTCAGGGTCGACGTGGGAGGAAGGCCACAGGTGGATGGTGAATGGCCCCTCCCATAGGGATTAAAAGAGGAGCAAAAGGGGAGGGGGCTTCTGCAGGAAACCATTCGTTCGTTCGTTGCAGCAGCGTGAAGATCTGTCTGTGTATCTCAGAGGCTCTGTGCAGAGTCCTTCCTTGTCAGCACTGCGTTTGGAAATACTTACTTGGCAACTCTCTAAGCTAGGTAAGGTCTGTGCTCCTAATTACAACCTTGAAAGACTGTTTGCCAGGCCTTTGGCTGAAGGTGAATGCAAGAAATTCACCTTCGTTTAATAAAAGGGGTTTTGCTGGGACAAAGAGTCTGCTTAGTGCCTTTTGGGGAAGCCCAGGTCAGAACAGCTTGTCAGATCACAAATGGTGATCGCATCACCCCTAGGACACTGCAACCATACATGCCAGTTGCCAAGCACCTGAATTTTGATCACGTGACCATGGGAATGCTGCAACAGTCGTGAGTATCAAAAGCAGTCCTAAGTTACTTTTTTCAGTGCTGTTGCAACTTGAAAACAAACCGAAGACTGTATTGCTCCTAGTGATCTAAAGGCTACCTGGCCCTCTCTTACGTGACAAATGTATTTTCTCCAACGAACCAAACAGAAACCAACAGAAACTTTGGGGCTCGATTCCCTCTCGGGTTCCTAAGCTTTTTTTGGGACGAGGCCAAGCCAGCGAGGCACAGCCAGGGCTTTCAATCGTGTTTTCCAGGCAGGAAAACACCTCTGAGGTCCAAGTCCACAAACTGGCTTTGCAGGCAGAAACGGCAGTTAGGACAATCAAGAAATCAAAGAGCAAGGCCAACCGACGAGGCCAAGATCACCAGGGAGGGCAGGAACAGTACCTGTGCAAAGTTGCTAATTCCTATCGTTCCAATTCCGTTTTCGACGGCGATCCATTCGTGCTTGTCTGTAAACCGACGAGCTAAAAAAATAATAATAACCCCAAAACAAAACAAATGGGTCAGTTTTAAGGCTCTGTATTTGCATATAGTCCACGAGTCTTAAAGTTACCAAGTTTGGAGATCTATGTTCTAGTATAAACCCCAAAACTGAAACTCGAGCTAGGAAACTCCTTTTTATGTATGGCGTAAGTGGTAAACGATATTTAAGAATTGTTTTTTTTTTAATGTATTATGTCACTTATACTTCAATGCTTTCCCTGTCTGATCAAAGTGAAACTTTGTCGAATTTCCAATCTCTGCTGGATCCGGCTTTTGCTTCCTACAATACTCATACTATGATTCCCCTTCTGCATGGAAAGTACGTATCTCCATAACATGCTTCATTATTCTACATGATGATGATGAATATAATTCTTATTCATGTGCAAAGGGCTAGCTCCTTGGGAAGGCTCTAAAGATGGGAAAGGTAGAAAGAGAGACCACCACTGTACTAGCAAAGCCAAGCTATATAAAAGTTTTTGTGGTGCCTCCTTTTGGGCCTGGTGTCCTAAGCACGTGCTTAATGGTTAATACACCACTGATCACGGGCATCTCTGGGCGCATTTTATTGCAAAAATATTAACATAGCAACACTCCATCTAGCTAACCCACAGAATATGTCTGTCTTTATAGAATTACAAGAGTGGAAAGGGGTCATTTTGGTGACTAAGCCCAACCCCCATCAAGGCTGGAATTCAAATGAATTCATCCCGAAGACATTACGACCCAACTTCTCTTTAAACCTGTGCTGAGATGAAGAGATCACCCTAAAAAAATGGTTGGAAGACCAGGTTAGTGACCAAATCCTCGTTTCGGACAATCTATGTGATTGCTAGGGGTCAACAGCAACTTGATGGTACATAACCACTATCACATTGGCCTTATTGCTAGGAATGTTTTTCCAAACTTTAAATAGGAAACTCCCTTCAAAACTTGGAAAGACCTCCAAGCAGGTCTTCTCCCGTGACTCATGGCTAAAGCTAAATAGTTCAAATTCTCTGTCCTCTTTACTTTAATCCCACTGGTTTACTGGGCGCCCCACGGAATGCAGGACCCAAAAAAGTATAAAGATGGTTTATGCATTTAGATCTTGCACGAGAGCAAGCCAGCATTGTTTGCAGGTTGCTTTTCAAGAGCCCCATGGAATCCTTTGAAATCTCCTGGCATGCCAATGCCAGAAATCCAAAGAAATTGTTTACGGTTTGATTGTTTAAATTGTTGGTCTGCCTTTCATACTTTATAATCAACTCAGGACCGCCAACATACCTAACACTCCTCCCTCCTCCTATTTTCCCTACAACAACAACCTTGTGAGGTGGGTAGGGCTGAGAAAGAGGAACTGGCCCAAAGTCACCCAGCCGGCTTTCTTGCTCAATTTCTCCCAACAAAATTCTCCGCACCCCTGCGGGATGAGAAGTAGCCTAGAATCCAGAATGATGTATTGGAAAGGGGGGGAGGGGGAATAGGCTACAATGCACTTCATAGTAACGTTTCGCTGGTTGAAAGATTACCAAAAACGACCTTCGCTCAACATCGGAAGCTTAGCCTTGCCTGGAGGGGAGGATCGGTACGTCCTGGGGTTAATTTGTTTTTTCCACCCTGCATTGCAACAACGGGCCTGTCCAGGTCCAGGAAGCCAACTTCCTGGGGGCGCTGCCCATGCGTGGAAGCAAAGGCCCTTGACTTCCAGGAAGCGGGCTTCGCTTCGGATTCCAGGGAAGCCTAATCCAACTCTTGGCATTCCCCCCACCCTCAACTCCCCGAAGCGTGCAGCTCAGCCCTCGCCAAGCTGAGTTGCACGGATATGCGACCCGGATATGCACGGACTTTCGCTCCAAGTCAGGGCGCACAGAGGCGTACAGGGGCAGCAAGGGGGCTGGCAGCCTTGGAAGCTCTGGAGAGGCCTCCGGCTAAGCGCATCGGTGCCCGGGCTTTGGCTGCGATCCCTCGGCGCGGTTGGAACCGGAGCAGAGCGACGAAGGGGGCTGGGTGACTCCCGCCGCGCTTTGGCGCACGCCTCTCCTTGCAATGGCGCAAAGGAACTCCGGTTCCCCGCCCGCCGCCCCTTCAACCGCGCCCCGGTCGCCACTCACCGGCGAGCAGCAACGCAGGACTGGTGCTGAGCCGCCGGGCCTCGGGGCTGCGTACGATGCTGCTGCTGCTGGGCCAACCCAGCAAGGAACCGCGCGGCCCGGTCCGTGCGCCAAGCCCGACCCTCCGCAACGCTCGCCAAGCCGTCGCCGCCACTGCCATCGCGGGGCCGCTCCACGAAGAGGCGGCCCGGGCCGGAGGGCAAAAGCAGCCGGGGGAGAGGAGGGGAGGGTGGAGGCGGGCCTTCCCGGCCCGAGGGGGCCTGGCCTGGCTCCTCGGCCGGGCGAAGGGAAGGGAAGGGGTGCCGCGCCGGGCGGAATCGCTGCGCGCCGCCGCGGAGAGGGTGGTGTGGTTTTGCCTCCTTTGTCCCGCGCGATGCGCTCTGGAGTGGAGGGACTACAATTCCCCTCTTTCCCGGCCTGCATAAAGGAAGAATCCGGGCAGCCAGGATTAAACCTCCGGCCGGAGAGGTTTTCTGCTGCTTCAAAGAATAGCAACAAAGGAGAGAGAGGCAGTTGCAAAACTGCAGAGGTTCCCATTTTTAGGGGATGGCGACGGCCCCCCAGCTGGGCAAAATCAGGCCTGGTTTATGGACCGGGATGGAAAGCTCAGTAGGCAGGATATAGAGTTGGCCAAACATTTGGGAGTTTAATGGCCAACCAAGTCCAAAGCCCCTTTAGAAAACTGTGCATGGTGTCGACAGTCAAGCTGGACCTGAGAATGCTTTGCTAGTTAGTCTTCAGTGTAAACCTTTTTTTACTTAAATTGTATCTCTTATCGGTTTTTGTTTTTCAAAGCACTTCTCCCCAGTAGTTTGCAACATGTCTGTTTTCCTTAAAAAACCCGAATAAACATCCTCTTTTGTTCTCTGGAAAGTAGGTTGGAATCCCCAGACAAAGAGTGTTGAGGAATTGTTTTGGCTAGAGGAAAAAAATGGGTGAGAGATTTGTGAAGCACCACACGCACGGCTGCAAATCCATTCTCCCAAGAAGCGGTGTTTGGTTTAACCTTTTACATTTTGTAATTATATTTACTAGGCCTTTAGTGGAAAATGTCATATCAAAAGGACTGGTTCAGCTTTTCTTCTCAATCATTTCAATTTTTAAGGCCTTTCACTCACACATGATGACTTTTGAACGCGAGCCAAACATTTCCATGGGGAAATTTTTACAGGAATGTGAGACACGCCAGTTGCAAATTGATAGCAGACTTCTAATTTTAAATAAACTGAGCTACAATTATGCTTTAACACTTAACATTTATTACATCACACTGAGAAATAGTAACAGGAAACAGCCATGTCATACCTGTTCCATATAGCTTAAAGTATTTCTATATCTATAGTGAGAAACCACATTCAATTATTGGAGATCAAATGAAGCTTTTGATTCCTAAAAATGAGCTCACGTTTTCTACCACAGCATTTCACAAACCCCAAAATCACAACATTTACAAGTAATACAACAGCTACAAATTCACAGGAGAAGTAAAATCTTGGCTGAGTCATTAGATGTCATTCCCAGATGCTTGCAGATGCTTGCCACAAACTGGAGTTTGGTCATTTTTATATTTAATTCCAAGAAAACTGCACATTTTCTTCATCATGAGGTCCACTATCTCTTCTTCTTCTGAAGCCTTTAAAAAAGAGAGAGAGAAATGTTATCAGTGTTTTATGATGCTTGATTCCTAGATAGAAAACTGTTTCTCAACCTTAGCAAAATTTAAGATGCGCAGACTTGAACTCCCAGAATTCCCCCAACCAGGCGGCTGATTTGACAGTGAATGGATGCCACAAAATCAAGAAAGGGGAAAGAAATCCATCTTGTAAATCAAAATGTGTTATTTAATGCAGAGCATCCTACCCTGATGTTATCCAGGTGTGTTAAAATTCCAAGCACCCCCAGTCAAGCTGAATCAAGAGTTGGGTTTTCCATTTTGGTGGCTTTTTAAAGAATGGTTTTTGACATTTGTGTTTGGGCAACTGCACTGCATCCATCTTCAGCCATGCATGCTCCCCCCCCCCTTTTTTTCATTATTTCCTTCAACAAAATGGCAAAAAAAACAAAATACTCAGAGACAGTTCCACCAATCACAGCGGGTGGTGACAGAGTTGCAGAAACTTCAGAGGCCTGTACAATACTCTCTCGTGTCTCCTTTAAACGCTGAGATTCGGTGAACAAACCTGATAATGTTTCTGCTCCTCACTAAAAGCCACCAGGATGACAGAAATGAAGAGGTTCAGGACCACAAATGTCATAAAGATTATGCAGGAACCGATTAAGAAGGACCCCAAGATAGGATTGTAATCCAAGACCTGTAATGTGAGAAATATGATTAAGTCTATGAAAAAAAAATAGAAGAAAAAATGTTTTTATAAAGCTGTTTAAAAACTTTAAGCAGGGCACTAGGTGCTGGATGCATCAGAGCCTCCAATTCTGAACAGGAATCCAGCTATCCTGTGTACATTGAATAGACCTATTTCAATGCTTATGATTTTATTTACCTGTTCAATTTTTACTTTTGACATAAGTGAAACAAGTTTTTTTTTTAAATTGGCATAATAATAAGTAAAATCTGTTTTTTAAATAGAATAGAATAGAAATTCTTTATTGACCAAGTGATTGGACACACAAGGAATTTGTCTTGGTGCATATGCTCTCAGTGTACATAAAGAGAAAAGATACATTCGTCAAGAGTCAAGAATCATCAGGTACAACACTTAATAATAGTCATAGGGTACAATAAGCAATCAAATCATACTAGGAAACAGTCAATAAAAATCACTAGGATACCAGCAACAAAGTTGCATTCATACAGTCATAAGTGGGAGGAGATGGGTGAAAGGAAGGATGGGAGGAATAATAGTAATAGTAATGCAGACTTTGTAAATAGTTGGACAATGTTGAGGGAATTATTTGTTTAGCAGAGTGATGGCATCAGGGAAAAACTCCTTGTGTCTAGTTGTTCTGGTGTGTAGTGCTGTATAGCGTTGTTTTGAGGGAAGGAGTTGAAACAATTTATGTCTGGGATGTGAGGGGTCTGTAAATATTTTCACAGCCCTCTTTTTAACTCATGCAGTGTACAGGTCCTCAATGGAAGGCAGGTGGGTAGTAATTGTTTTTTCTGCAGTCCTAATTACTCTGAAGTCTGTCTGTCTTGTTGGGTTGCAGAACCCAATACATACATACATACATACATACATACATACATACATACATATCATCACCACTATTGTCATAATTTTAGCCATTGTCTATCCACTGTAGACAATGTTTCCAACCCATACGGTCCCAAGATTTCTTTTGCCAATTGGCCCTGCAATACTTGCTAATATTTTCAATCCATTTTGTTTTAGGTCTCTTTCGTGGATTCTTTTGATCAAGTGGGATCCATTCTGTGATCGCTTTGGTCCACCTGCCATCAGTTCTTCTTGCTATGTGACCAATCCGTTTCCATTTCAATTATTTTACTCTCTTGATGATATCGTATACTTTTGTTTGTTCTCTAATCCATCCATCCATCTATCCATCCATCCATCAAACCCATTTTAATAACAAGAAGAAGCTAGCCCAGCTTCCTGTAACCAAATTATTTTCCATGTATGGATTGCAGCTCCCAAAATTCTCAAAGTGGCTAAGATGATTGGGTAACTCCGACTCCAGATAGTTGAAGGATATCAAGTTGGAGAGACTTAAATGCTACACTAGGTACAATCCTTTGCATGTACATGCAAAAATAAGCTTTGTTGTATGTGGTAAGGATGCATAGATTTGCACCCCAAGTTAGTCTATATTTCAGTTTTGATTTTTCCCCGTGATACATTTTTCTCTCTAGATCTAAACCACATGTTTCTGCTCACAAGATCAGTCCAAATTTTTCCATGCTCTAAATAAAATAAACACAGTTTGATCTTTTCATTTGATTGGTCTTATTTAGAAAGTGTCATACCTCTTCGTAGTTGAAGATTCCTAACTGAAGGCTGACCATAGTCTCAGCAGAATCAAACAGAGTCTTGTATGAATTCAGTTTCCAGCCATATATTAGATTTGTCTGCATTTAAAACAAACAAATAATCATCTTAGATGCCAGTCACTTCATTTACTCCATTATATCTACTGCTCATTTTTTATTCTGACAGGAAAATATCTCAGAATACGGAATAAGTTTGAACCACTTTGATAGGAAAATCTTCTGATTAATGGATGGTCAAGGCAAATATAACCTCATAGAATAAATAGTAGATGAAGTGTTTAACCAGTCTTCCCTCAGCTATTGAAGCTCCTTCGTGAAGTTTGAGCCAGCTGCCTTGTCTTAAGAACACAAACAACCTTGTAGTTGCAGAGAAAATTTGGGGGAGAAATGCTACGTGTGACATCTTGAGCTCCTGGAGGAAGGTCATAAAACTAATGAATGGATGAAATTAATGAATAATGAAAAAATGACAGTTTGCGGGCTGGTGAACAAGAAAGTCAAGTAAGATATTTGCTTCCATTAAGTAGCTTACTCATGCCCTCCTGTTGCTCAAAGTTCACGTGGTATGGAGAAAACATAAGAATCAGTGCAATGGCTTGCCTCCAGAATTTGTGGGTGCTCCATGTAAGGGATGTAAATCACCTAACAGTTATTTGGGTTGGAAATATATAAACTAGGATAGACATTTTAATACTATGTCTTTAAGAGAATACTAAATCTGTAACTGGGTGTGGTTTCGCAAACGGCCACAAGATGGAGCCAGAAACCTGGGTTGTTTAGTCTCAGTCTCTCTGTTCCTTCTGTTGGAGAGTGTTGCAGTTCCTCCTAATGACTGTTACTGATCGTTGATGTAAGTCTGTTACTGAACTGTTTTTTGATTCTGGACTTTGATATTTGGATTACCCCTGAACTGAACACTGACTGCTTTACCTGTGAATGACTTGGACTGCTTATCTTAGAATTTGCTTAAACGTTTATTGGAAGTAAAGCCCTAAATTTACTGTACAGCAGGGGTCCCCAACCACCGGTCCGCGGACCGGTACCGGTCCGTGGAACAAATCCTACCGGGCCGCTGGTTTGCTGGGCGCCGCCATCTTGTTTTGATGAAAAAGTGCTTCCGGTGAGCTTTTCCGGGTAAAAAGCTCACCGGAAGCACTTTTTCATCAAAACAAGATGGCGGCGCCCAGCTGATGCCGATACCGGGCCGCGGCATAAAAAAGGTTGGGGACCACTGCTGTACAGTGTATCTGTGCGCTGTGTGTTTATTATTCAACATTAC